AACTACGGAATCCACAGGTGTACTGACGAAGATTAGGTGGATCAAGCCCCCGATGCGGAGGCGTCCCGACCAGCGCCTCGCCCATGTCATCATCACCTTCTCGGACGCGGACACGGCAAACAGGGCAATAGTCAATGGCCTGTCGATTTGCCACAAGAGAGTCTCGGTAGCGAAGTGCAGGAAGGAGCCTATTCGATGCCTCAAATGCCAGGGATGGGACCATATCGCTGCGGAGTGTGTGGTCACAAAGGAGGTAAATGTATGCGGTACTTGCGGGGCAAGGGACCACTGGACCAGCAAGTGCAACCAACAAGGGGTCACTCACTGTACGTCGTGCAAATCGGACGACCACACCAGCTGGGACCGCGGATGCCCGACTTTCCTCAGGAAGGTCGACGAACTCAACGCAAGGGACCCAGCAAACGACATTCCCTTCTTCCCGGCAAGAGAGACATGGACATGGTCTCAATCCTACCCTTCGCAAGGCCGACGAGTCCCACCGGCGGAGATACAGGTAAACTATGCTCAGACAGGCTCACAGAAAAGTAGATACAGGCAAACGCAGCTAAACTTCGACTCAGCGGCTCCAGGTGGGAGACCGTACACCAGGGAAACGCGGATGCGTCAACGATCGAAGCCACCTGCAGCTAAGTCCCCCCCCCCACATTTCCCCAATCCAGAATCCCCAGAAGCCCCTGCGGCACTGAGCGACGGCTCTCCTCCCACTGACAGCTCCTCCCCCGCAGTTATTGTCCATGTCTGAACAACCGGAACAACGGCCAACAAGACTACGGATCCTACAAGTAAACTTAAACAAATCCCAAAAGGCGCACTTGGAGTTGTATAACAGGGTATCAGGAAAGGAATCGGACATCGTCTTGGTCCAGGAGCCGCACATCACCTTCACAGGAAACATTAGGACACCAAACGGCTTCGTGTCAGTGGCACCAGCAGACCGATACAAGGACGGAGCTCCGGTTACTAGAGCGGTCACTTGGGTCAGCTCGGCACTGGCAACAAGCTCGTGGAAGATAATGAATGTCCCTGGAACTAACGATGTTACGGTTATACAGATGACAGGCGCTTATGGGCGGCTAACAGTCATCAATATCTACAACGACTGCATGCACTGCAGAACACTACGCTCTGTCTGCGAGTTCTTACGCGTAAACCGAGCAGAAGTTTTGTCGAGGGAGGATGATCACTTAATATGGGCTGGCGACTTCAATAGGCACCACCCGATGTGGGACGAGGAAACGGACGACAGGCTGTTCACGGCCAAGGCGTTGGACGACGCGGGACGATTGATCGAAGCACTGGCCGACCTCAATCTGAAGATGGCGCTGCCGAAGGGTCAGCCCACCCTAGAACACATGGTAACGAAAAAGTACTCGCGCCCTGACAACGTGTGGTGCACAGAGGAAATTTTTGACCTGATCATCAGATGCGAGGTTGACCCCTCGCTAAGGCCTCCAGCCACTGACCATTTTCCCATAGCTACCTACATTGACCTGCCACAGACGCGCTCAGAGAACAGGACGTCCTACAACTTCAGAGCGGCAGATTGGGAAGACTTCCAAGAGAACCTGGCAATACGTCTCCTCGAGATACCACCACCTCAGCCAATTACTACAGAACAGCAATTCCGGGAGGCGGCTGAAG